TTTTTTGAAAAGTTTCCTCTACCTGTATCATTTTATAATCGCAAATAAACTACAATTACTACGCACATATCTTCAAACCTTTAAACAGTAGTTTTGTAGTTACTAGTTGGCTCGGAGTGGCGTTGTATTTACAGTTTCTTACATGTATTGTAACATTTATAAAGTATTTAATGGCTGTTCCATCACTGCAAATATTAAGCGCAGCAATTCTCACAATCTGTCAGTCTTTCTTACAAAAATTAGAACATTATATTCAAACAGGTCTAGTAATTATAGTATCGGCCTCGCAAACATCTGCTCTTCTCACAACCATATATGAATATGTACGTGCACGAAACGCATAAAATGAATTCCTACGTACGTACCAACTCGGTATTCACAAAATACAGGTGTCACCTCATTTCACAAACATTTACCCTGAAGTAATGCGTTATTCCTACTAGCTTTTAATAGACAAGTAAAGCGATCTATGCAAGAGAAGAGGCAATGACTTGGCACGAATCAAGGACAGCGGCTTCAGGCACCTAGGTCAACCAAGCTCAGAAGAAGCTCTTGCAAAATAGGTAAGTGTATGCTTTTCCCGCGCTTCCAACCACTTGCTTCTTTCCGCTCAGAAAACGCCAGCAGTAACTAATATTATTATATATACGAGTGCGATAATTATTTCAATACGAGTGCGGTTCTCTTTATTAGACATGTTAGGTTTGGTAGTTACGATAAGATTATTGGAGATTAAACAAACAGTTTTAAGTACTGGTCTATCACTATCTGTGAGATAGTCTATTCCGCGTTGCTCTGTTTATGATGTTGTAAGATTAGAAGATATAACTTAGGATCAGCAGGTTGTCACATAAAAAAAAATCCACACAAGCAAGTATTTTGAGAACTTCAACATGGAAAATTATTGTTCCACTAAAGTTGACCATTCTCATAGTCAGTTTATTATCTGTTTGGTATTCAGGCACACTGATGTCCAACAGATAAGTCTGAAGTAACCACGAGAAAAAAAAAAAGATACTGGAAGTATTATGCAAGCGATAAAATGAACACAGACAGAAACCGAAAAACAGAACAAGGGAACAGGAATGAACGAATAAATCAAAATTTTCATTCACAATGATTGTAGTTGTGTGAATGTTTTCCTATACTTGCTGGCTTCTTAACAGAGTTCAAATTGATTGCTGGAAAATGTTTCTATGCATTTCTGTGCTGAAGAGAAAGCAGGAATTATACTATACCGCCCTTTCAAATCAGCCAGTGAGTCATCTCTAACTCATACTAATCTGTACAAGTATCTTTGTCGCCCGTTGACATGAGCTAGTCCCTCCTAGGGAGCTACAGGACAAAAGTAATACAAGTTTCAAATTACTGCCGTATGTGCAACCTTTATCTAAATAAAAGAATAGACTCATGTTTATGACCTTTTGATATCCCATTAACTAGTACCATAATCGCATGGACCCGAATATAACTGAATAAACATATATTATAAATTACTTATGAAAGGTGAAATTAGTATTGAATCTAAAACATGCGTACCTGTATTTGTATTTATAGCAAAGCTACTAAGGCTAACTGCTACCGTCCCAAATTTAGAAATACTGATCAAATGCAAGGCAGCCTGTCAGCAGCTCCCTACCAACCATGCTAAGGGATTGACTGTCACTTTTATAACGCTTGTGTACTTACAATGTTTAGCCAGTAGTTCATCGAACAATCTGAAAGCTCCAAAATGTGCATACTTAACATTGGATGCCGATGCACAAGCTCTTACTCACATTCATATATTAGCCTGATTATATATTTAATGCATCTCGGTTTAAATCTACATCAAAGAGTACTAAAATTAAAACTGTGGGATAAACTGTTAAAAACAGAAGAAGATTGTTTCCAAAATTTGAATCTGGAAGGTCAGGGATTTAGAGGGTTTGTCCCTCGACGTTTAGATACATTTTATACAAATACAGTAAATACACTACTGAGAACTGTATCGCACTTGCTGACATTAGAAAAACGCGTAAGATGCTCGTTACTCGATCAGCTCGTGAATTCTAATATCAACAAGTTTTGCGAACAGATGAGAACTCACTCGTTAATATTCGGGTGTTCTGTCTTTTATTAATACCCGTGGACTTGATCCAACCAGTAAGATTAACAGTTGGCCCCTTGGTTGGGGACTAATATCAATTATATATTCTTTTTGGCAAACCGTACAAAGCAAACTGTGGCGATACTGCCCAAATCATTTTATGTGAACAACTGATAAGTCACTCAGTCTTGTAGTACATAGACATTGCTTCTAAGTATGTTACGTAATACTCCGGTATAAAATTGAGCTATCTCTGCCAAGCACGCACCCGTATCTCGCATATTACTTTACCTGTGTCAATATCGTTCCATTACACAAGTTACAAACGACGTTCGTACGAAGCAAATAGAGCGGCAACTACAGGGGGTACGTGGTTTAATACACACTTTACGAAGAGTTAACTAATTAAATAATTGCTTTGCATTTTGCACGCATATAGTTGGAACCTACTGAATGTTATTTTAAAACAAACTGCAATTATTTATTGATATAACCTGGAATTTCTATCCAACTCGCCTGATTGGATTCTAGTCTGGGAGGTTTTCAATAATAAAAAAAATGCTATTTTATGGTTTCATTTTTCAGTTGTCTGGGCGAAATTTTCAGCCGCCATGTTTATCTGTCCCTGAACGTGTAGGTGAAAGCAAAGGAAAAACTTGTAATCTGTCAACCACACTATATCTGCTATATCTAATGCCGAGGAGGCCTTTCGTACAATTCCAGGTCTCATCAGACCAGCTGGGATTCGACAAACATTGTAGTTGTCTAGGTGATATTTATTGTTATCAGCATTCACGAACGACTACATATCATGTGAACACGACTGTAATTATTATCAGGTCTATCCAAGTCATTTACTAATCAGTCTTTTGGGTTAAGGAGTGATGATGTTTAATTCCAAGTCTTCCTAACTTACCTTTCATAATTTTGGAGTACTGGTAACTATGAACTTTAGGAACACTTGTATTGCAAGCTCTTCTTCTCCAGCTAATCTTACATGTACCGTCGAGTCTCTCCCCCCTCCTCTCTCTCTCTCTCTCTCTCTATATATATATATATATATATATATGTATGTGTGTGTGTGTGTGTGTGTGTGTGTGTGTGTTGTCGTTTCCTATCCACTTGTTCATTTTTCGTACAGCAAATTACCAATTACATCACGAACGTGAAAATTATGATGTTTCATCTTTAACCGCTTTTATGCTCAACCCTTAACAACACAAGGCTTTTCCCATAGTTGATCTTCTGCAGTTTTCCTGAAATTGACTACTTTCTCGTAAACGATAGCCCATCACAAACCAAAAACCTAACCTTATCACTGACTTGTGAAAACAGTTACAGTCCGGTATTCCGAAAATTGATGTAAAACAACAAACACACGTGTAAGGCTAATGTTTATTCATTCACAGATTTTATGTGAACAGTCATTTATAAATCCTTCCCGCCACCCCCTCAGAACGCCAATGAAACTCTCAATCAAGAAGTTTCTTTCCAAATATCTAAACTCCAAGTGTACAATACTACACTTTAATATATATAAAATAATTTTTCGTTTTACGATCCAAGGCCTCACACTACGAGGTGTTTTTTTTGGGGGGGGGGGGCTGAGAGGCAATGCGTTACATTGATAT